TTTGTTTGGATATCAATTTTTTTTTTTTTTTTTTTGCTAATGATTGTGTGACACCAAGATGATGACATACCGTATAGTTTGGTTGGCACTCGGCAATGCGACGGCTACCAACCGAGCACTTTCAATATGCCATTAATAAAATCGTTATAAAAAGTTATAATTGGCATAAAAATAAAATAGCTCTACGGAGAACACCCATGAACTTTAACCTATCGACCTGGAAGTTTGGCTGGTACCTCACAGATAACAAGAAAATTTGAGTTTTCTAGACCCACTAATTTTTTCTAGGAGTGCCTGCAGTATCAGATAAAGAAAAAAACAAAATACAACATTTTGGCAACCCCTTTATAGAAAAACTTGAAACTTTACATACTAACTAAGAAAATAACTATCTTTCAAACGAGATATTCAGAATTACTATAGGCCTTTCAGTGATGGAGAAATCAACCTCCAAATATCAGCATCTGATTCCTGTATATATAGTCAGTCAGTGATATTTCACTTTGATATAATTTTGTAAATAAGTATCTATAAAATTAACAATTTCTTATGCTATCTGCATAAAATCCAAAATAAATAAATGAAGTTTTGCAGAATATGTTAGTAGTGTTGTCCTCAAGTAGAATATTTTATAAGATCTGTAACCAAATAACCAAATATGTAATTGTTAAAAGCAAATTGTCTGACATTCTGAATATGATATAATATATATCAAACACAAAATTGAGAAATGTTAATAAAATGTTATACAAAATTTAAATTTTCAAACATCTCTTACCTGTAGCTTTAGGTCCCGATTTTTGCATCCATTGCCTAAGCATTATTAATGCCTGTTGTCTGTCGTCGTCCGGGTAATCCGATTTAATAGAGTTAATTTCCGTCTCCGAAATATCGAGTTGCAGCGCTAAAATTTCCCAGTCGCCGTCGAGTTCTCGCGCAATATCAGAGAGTCGCAAGTCTGCTCGGTGGATGAGTTCAGGTTTCGCTATAAAAAAAATTAATAATAGACAATGTTTTTCGGATGAATTTTTCATCATTAATGTATTTATTCAATTAAATGAAACATATTTTTTATGTAGTTTTATAAAAATAAAAAATTTGATTTTACTTGAATGTTTATCAGAATTATGAAATTTAATAATCTCAAACTATAATATCAATTCAATGTGACACTTAAATTACAACTTTATTTTTTTAAACTCTTCCTATCTTCCTATAGCTAAAACAC